CCCTACATTCTCTTCCTTCTGATTCCCTAATGCTCACTCTGTCTGGGTCATCTTCCCAGCTGTTGGAACACCAGAGAAAGTCTTTCCAGAGCTGCTTGTCAGCAGTGTTGCTGGTTAGTCCTCTGTGGTTATTATATCTTACTCCTGAGACCAATTTAATACCTTAAAAATTATGCCTGTAGCCAAAAAAAAGTTGTCTCTGAAAGGTCCTCAGCCTCTGCCAGAATCCAGCTGCACCAGGTGGGTCAAATTCTGTAGCGAGGCTAAGAATCCAAATTTATCACAATGTAAGGACTGGAGGATAGAAGTTTTAAAGAAACTAAGATACAAAATCACACTACATGGGGTGGAAAAGAAAGTCTTTTTGACACAGATAAGGGTAGTGATAAGAATGAGCAAATCAAGACAAAGGATTTCAGTGAGGACTGAACAGAAAGGGAGGTTTAGTCTGCAAAGGGGAAGAACCTGTAGGAACTTGTGGAATTTCACAAGGACGTGTTAAAATTATGCACTGAGATTAATTCAGGTTTATCCATTAAACAGGGTAAAACCCAGAAAAACTAATAGCCACACTTTTATTTGTAGCCATCAAAGTGTTGAGGGCAAAGTCTTTAAGACCTGCAGGAGAAATTGAAGTGCATTGCTTCAATGTTCTCAACTACAGTTTGCATTAAAAGTGACGAATTTGGCTACAAAAGTACACAGCACGCTAAAGAACAGCACAAGAGAGAAAACACCAGGTTGTGTTCAGGAAATAGTGTGGGGTATAAATATTTGCAACAGGCTGGCGTCTGCACTCACTGACAGAGGAGGGAATGGCAACTGGGGCTGGGCAGGGTCTCCTGAGCTCCCTGCACCTCCAGCTCTAACTGCTGAAATCTTTTCTTTTTGCTCTTTAATAGCGTGCAACATTCCTGGATAGATTAGAAGACACTCAGTGCCTCAAATCCCTCAGCAGATATGCTCCGTGGCTTTGAGGAACTGGGCTACAAAGCTCTGTGATACCAGGTGGGCTGAATATCCATGGTTTCAAGTAGATAAAACCACTCATGGGACAACATTTAGGAACATAAATGGACAAGTTGTTCGGGCAGGTTGTCTGTCTCCTAATCAATAGCCCTTCTGAGACCCAATTTTGTTAAAAGTCTGACTCTTCATGTTGCATCTGAAACAATCAGACAAAAGCAAATGTCACTTGAAATTCTACCAAACAGATCTAGTCCCAAGGCAGGCAGGGAGATGATGTTAGCGACTTTAAAAACCAGTCGATAAAGAAAATTACAGGAGCTCTATCTCAAACCACCTGCGCTTACTAGATTGGAACAAGGCAGAACAGCCAGCTCCGAAATGGCAATTTGGCTGCACTGATTTAAATCAGAAAGGAAACAGAAATTACCTGCAAAATACAGATGTTCTGTGTCAACCTGCTTACCTTCTAAAAAATAAACTTACCAAACCTTCATCAAGTTGCATTTGGAATGGTTCTGCATTTAGCACTGCGTATAAAAACCGACAGCTCTGTTAACTGGCAGATGCAAAGCAGCAGGCGGGAAAGACGAGGAGGTAAAAGTCTGTGAGAATTTTGTGGGAACAATTCTGGGTTCTTGCTCTGCAGGATACCCCTTTTACCTGTTCAAATGTTCCTTCAGCAAAATTTCTTAATACTGTAGGATTTTTCCTTAACGGTGAGAAGAAATAATATTTGGATTCCTTGTCTAAACAATCTAAGGTGGACCATTTTCTCTTTGGTACTTATGTGACAATCTACTGTCTAGATCATCACATACTTGCTCTCA